GACTAGATCCAGGTCCCGTCCTTCCCCCACTGTGCCCCCCAGGTGCCCTGAGCTGTCGCGCTTTCCCTGGGGTCCCACATCACTGGTTTGTCCTTTACTCAGCAGATATTAGTTCTGCCTCTGTTTTGGCAATTGTGCTCTCTGTAAGATCTGACAGCCTGATCTAGTCTAGAAGGTTTCCAGTGTTTGGTGTGACGTCAAGGCAAACTGGCACAGCGGTGACTGCAGGTAGCAGAGACAACTGCTGGACGGGTGTCAGCTCCAGGGGCAGGTTTACACCTTTCCAGACCAAGTTCAGAGTTCTCTGCAGAGCACTCATCTGTGCGTACAAGAGGATGGCTTAGAACAGAAAGCCACTTTTTCTCATTGTGGAAGCAGTGTTTATTATAAGAATTAGGACATACAGATGCAAATAAATTGTGTGAACAAGCAGAGGTGATGATCCTTGTAGCTAAACCTTTGAATCTGAGCAAAGCCTTGGTAATTTCCTTTCAGCTCTTAGAAGTGGGTTTCGAGTTGGAAGTTCAGTGACTGTTTAAGGTTTGTGTTTGGTATTATGATCAGGAACACAGTGAAGCCTGACTCCTGCCTTGGGTCCCCTCCTGGGGTCCCCATGGAGAGAAGCCACAGGAGGAGGGGAGTGACTGTGACGCCCCCCCCCCATTGCTAGTTGCTGAGGCCTGATGCCCAAGGGGAGCTTTGCTGGACCACCTCTTGCAGCCCCAGCTTCCCAACCCAGCCCCTTCTGATTGCTGGAATATTTTCTACTCTGGGTGCAGCCCGGAGAACGCCAGGCAGGCCATGGGTTTGTTCCCCATGAAGAGTGACCCCTTCTCTGGACCGCAGCCATCCGTGACTTTGCCATCAGTTTGATTACTAACACCTTTCTTTGCTTACTAGCAAATGACATAAAGGTTTAAAAAGTAAGCTTATTAAAGCCCATTTGTGTTTATTTATTTAGGAATTTTGTTCATATTCATCTACCATTTTTTAAGTTGAGTACTTGTCTTTCTATTATTGACTACAGTAGGCTGTTGAAAGGTTGACCAAGGAAATGTGACTCATTCAGATAGGCTGGGCACAAGGAGGTCACTGGGTGCCCTGGGTCAGGTCAGGCTCATCTGGAAGGTGCTGCCTTCTGACGCAGGGGCATCCAGGGCCCCTGAGACATGCAGGGGACACATAGGCCTTTATCTAGTGGACTGGGGTCAGAATTGACCAGAGACGTCAGTCAGGGAGGCTCTCTGCCAGGTTGAGACCTTCATCATTCCACAGGGTCACAGGGAGCAGAGGGAGAGGCAGGGGTGAAGGGCGAGGGCTCAGTCCTGTTTGGCTGTTTTAACCCAAAGAAGTTGCTTCTTGTGTTTTCACTGTCTCTATTGCTGCATCAGTCTGTTCACTGTTTTATCTAACTCTGTGTCACTTATGGCATATCCAGACCCTGGCTCCACGCTGTGCCATTGCCTCGTATGTGTGTGTGTGTGTGTGCGCGCGCGCGCGTGCGTGCGCATGTTTGTGTGTGGTATGCTGATCATGCTTCATGAAGATTCCCGGTAGCTCAGTTCTGTTTAGTTATCTCAGTGCTAAGTGTAGTTAATTAAATATATGCAGACGTTTCTAGATTTTGTGTGTCTAGAACTCTCATTTACTAAACATCTTTCTGGGTGTGACTCTAACAGTATTATGGGTTTTATCGTAGGTAATAAAATTTTGTTTGCTGCCTAATCATGTGGTTCCAGTAGATGTTCTGCCTGGAGAGAATGTGCTCAGTTTGGTCTTCCTTCCTGTAATATTTATTGCCACGGACTGAGCTCTGGTTTATTGTCCCATCTTTTTTGTGGTCATTGTATTAAGTACAGAACCCACCAGCCATGTGCACCTGGAAGGTTAACGTCTAGAGGACAAGTTGAAACATGACTTTGAAAATGTATTTAAGAATTCCTTTAATTCCCCTGAGATTATAAATACCAAGGTTTCTAATATCTGCTGTGGGGCCTACGCTGCAAACAACTTGGAATTAATTAGCCTGCCTGTGTTTCCTGGGGTCGCACCCTCCAGTGTTTCAGTCAGTATCAGTTTTTTGTACTGCCAGCTGAGCCTGTAGTTTTGATTTATCAAGAATAGCCACATATGACTAGGAACATCGAGAAGCGTGTGGCCCTGCTACGTGCTGTGGTCATGATGACAGCTGATGCTCAGGAGCGCTTGCTATGTGCAGAGGCTAACCCACTCCCCATGCTCTCCCCACCCCCGCAGCCCAGCAGACCCACCGACCTGTAAGATGTGAGAGTTTCTGATGAAAGCATGGCGCACAACCCTTGAGAACCTTGCCTAAGGCCACATAATTAGGTATTGAAACAGGCTCACCCAGGACTGTTACCCCCCACCTCCGCGGGTTCATAACCCGTGGGAAAGGAGAATAGTCATAGCTGCTGGGGAGACATTTCTTTATCATGAACTGCACTCAGCAGGTAACTTACATCAGTAGTAACCAATGCCAAGCTGCTTTATTTACAGATGTTTCTGATTTAAGGACTTGAGAGGTAACTTCTTCCTTCTCCTTCAGCACTGTGTTGCCTATTCCGGGTCTTTGTGTCTCCATATACTTTAGAAGCTGTTTGTCAATGGCCACAAAATAACTAGCTGGATTTGGATTGGGGTTGCCTTGACTCTAGATCAAGTTGGGAAGAATTGACAGCTTGACAATACTGAGTCTTCTATCCATGAACGTGGACTATCTCTACATTTATTTAGCTCTTCTTTCATCAGTGTTTTGTAGTTTTCCTTATATAGGTCTTATATATTTTTTATCTAGTATTTAATTTGGGGAGTGCTAATGTAAGTAGTATTGTGTTTCTCTTTCAAATTCCACTTGTTCATTGCTCATATATAGGAAAGCAATTGACTTTTTTATATTAACCTTGTATTCTGCAATCTTGCTATAATTGCTTATTAGTTCCAGAAGTTTCTAGTCGATAACTATGCTTATTTTAATTATTCTCTGTTGCATTTCACTAGAAGAAGCATGTTTGATAAAAGTAATGCATGAACTTTATTTGCTGTGCACAGTCTGCTATATCTTGTTCCATGTGTACAGTCTCTAAAGGGTAATAGAACTGAACATCCATTACTTAGATGGTTTCCTAGAAAGAAAACTATTTCATTGTAAAATATAATAAATTGATAGCTTTGAACACTTTTGTGATATTTTGTTTAGATAATAAAAATGTTATTATCTAAGTAATAATAACGCTTCTCCTCCATAGAGATAAGGGGGTCTGTCAGAAGTCATAGGAACATGATATTTGTATAAAATTTTTGTACTTTGCTTTATAACATAAGCACCTACAAAGGTATAAAGAATAATACAACAGATAACATTTACCCACCACCCACATAAATATAAAGCATTCCCAATGAATCCTGTTACTTGAAATGACAAGTAACTGTGGAGAACCGAAGTGACACTACAAGGACACTGTGGACCAGCCTCGTTGTCTTCCGTGGGATCCCACAGATCCAGTCCCATCCATTACAAGTGCCTCCTGATGTCCCTGACTTGGGATGCCACTTTGGACGAGACAGTGTGGTTCTGAATGTGCTCTGTTGCAGTCTGGGGCTTGACACCTTTGGTCCACAAGCCCACGCACTGTTTTGGGTGTCAGGGCCCTGTGGTCTCCGGTCTGGAGCGGCAACCCCACCTCATTGCTTCTTTAATTCAGCGTTTTTCCTGAATATTCAAACCTGTAGGTTTTTCCACATAAACCTTAGAAGCAGCTTGTTTAGTTCCATTAAAACAAGAAAAGTTATTTTCTATCTATGAGCAATGAACAAGTTAAATGTCAGTCCCAGGTCTTTTGATGCCAAGTTTAATGGTCTTTCACACTTTGCTCCCTCCTGAGTTTAGCTGGCTTCTTCCTGCTTCAGGAGCATCCTGAAAAGTGAAGAAATAGTCTGAATATTGCTGCCAAATAAAGCTTTCCTTTAATTGGCCCTCCCTGGAATTTGGTTTCATGTGGGATTTTTGATGGGGTTTTAATTCTTAGGTGTTTATAGTTCAGGCTGTAAGGGGTGCCTTCAGAATGAAAGAAGAATGGTTCTGTGAAATGTTCTAAAGTGCCTGCATCTGCTGTTTTGCTTTGTTTTATAACCTTTGGTACAAGAGTTGGCATTTGTAGAAAGTGAAAATGTTGGCTCCTGCTCAGCGAGAGCTTTCTGGCTTCCGTTCCCCACATGCACGACCCTTGCCGCTGTGCACAGCCTGGTTATTTTCTACTGTGAGACATTTCCGTGCCTTTGTAAGAACGTTAATGTGTAGGAGCAGGAAAACCAGGCACTCTATAAAGCAGGTGAGCTTCGCTAGGGCCACGCTCCTGCCGTGGCTCAGACTCAGTCACTGTTGCGGGCAGCGTGCTCTTCCTGGTCCTGGGCCTCCAGGTAAGCCGCCTGCTCAGCACAGCTGTCGCTGATGAGTCGTGTGCTCTCCGAGCCTTCTGCCTACTTCTAGTTAACTCTTTATTTGGAGATAATGTGGATTCTCATGAAGCCGTAGAAATAATACAGAGAGAACCACGTTTGCTTTACGCGGGGCAGGTTGGAGTCCTGTTTGGGTTCTGTGGTTGCCTGTCTTCAGTTCCTCCTACAGGGGGGAATCTAAGACGTTGATGCCATCACCTTTCTCCCTGGTTCAGAGCCTCCATGGCCCCCACCCCTGGAACCAAGGCCACCCTCCTTAGAGTTGCCCTACATCTTCCTTGCTGGGACCCGTCCCCACCTCAACCATCCCTCCCTGCAGCGGAAATGCCCAGGGTTCTGCGCTGAAATGTGCTGAAAAGGTTGGAGCATCCAAACGTCCAGTCCTGATGGCAGAACACCCCTTCGTCATTTCAGGAGTTTTTCCTGTAGTTCGTATCATGTTGGTGGTGTTTCTGCGGAGGAGACTGACCTCATGTTACTCATGTGATGGGCATGCTAAATGTGGTTTTCTTGCTGTCTTTCAGACAGAAACAGCCTCCGCCAGTCAAGAAACCCTCCAAAGTATTTTGCCATGGATCTAGAAGATGAAGAAAACCTGAGTAAGACCTAGGCCTGCCACTTAGTATCAAGTAGCTGGTTTTCCATTAGTCTTAGTGTTCCTGGAAGTTTATATCATGAGGCCAATTTGGGGGAAATGATCTCCCTATGACCCAGGCTACAAGCAGTGGCATGTTTTTAATTTTGGGTTCATTCTGTCTACTGTGTGCATCTCCCTTATAGCCACGGTGCGAGGCTGTCGCTCCTGGTTATGTCCTGGGCTGCGATGCTTGCTTAGAAGGAGCGCATCCTCTGGGTGCGTGTCTCATGAAGCTGCACGCTTTGTGCCATGTTGGTCATGATGACCATGATGACGGTCAGGTTTCTACTGTCGTTTATTTATTCTAAGATAACCTTTGAGGTGGATTGAAGTACCTGGCCATTTGAAATAACAGTTCATACGTTTTCTGCTCAAATGCAGTGGATTCTCCCACATTTTAAGGGCAAGGGCGCACAGGAATCTGCTGATCTTAACTTTCTGGACTTTAATGAGCCTTAGGACTGGTGAGCCTGAAACACCTGGGGCCCATCTTCCCACGCTGTCCTCCCTGGGGCAGAGGGCGGAGGGCGGAGCAGCTCAGGCTCTGCCAGCTTCTCCTCTCAGCCTTCTTCTTTATGAAAAGTTCAGTGAACACACTTCTCGTCTGTTTTACCTTTTTTTTAAATCCTCACCGAAGGAGTGAGGATATTTTTTCCATTGATTTTTTTTTTTTTTTTAAGAGAGAGTTTAAGGGAGTGGGGGAGGGAGGAGAGAGAGGGAGAGAGAACAAGATCAATGTGACGAAGACGCATCGATTGGTTGCCTCCCACATGCGTCCCAGACCAGGAGTGGGGATCAGACCTGTAACCCAGGTACGTGCCCTTGACCGGGATCAAACCCGTGACCCTCCGGTGCCTAGGCCGACACTCCAGCCACTGAGCCATGCCAGCCAGGGCATCTTCTGTTTTACCTTTAATCCCAGAGAGCAATGCATTTATTTATTTTTATTTTTAATTTTTTTATTATTTTTTAATCCTTTCCTGAGATAACAGCAGTGCATTTAAATAAGACTTAAATGTTCCCACAGAAGTTGGGAGCTTTTAGTAGGGAAATTGCAACAATGCACCCTTTTTCTGATACACATGTACATGTACATTCTTACTTGTCTGTATTCAGTTGCTCCTGAGAAAGAACGTGCAGGTCTAAATGGTGAGTGACATTTTCTTAAGAGTGGTCATCAGTGACCAGAACACAGTCCAGTCCATTTCTCTGTGACTTCACCCAAACCAGCCAGCTGAGGCCTGGGAATTGGCTTGTCTACGTATATAACCCAGAAGTCCACGCAGCAGACCTCCCTGCCTCGCATGCAGGCTGCTCCATGAGTTTGGTTGTAGATGATGTGAGGTAGTCTGGGTCTTAGTTGTATGAACCACACAGTAGATGCTTTTTGGCTGGTCAGTCCCTGTGGGGTGGACACCAGCATGAGCAACTGACCAGTCACTGTTGGAGAAGCACGTGGCATTGTGCCCTTCCCCCTGCTGACCTGTGCGTGGCCTCTGGTGGCCAGGCGGAGGCTTTCTTCAGGGTGCTGCCCCATCAGAGCCTACTCCCAAGGTCCTTTTAGAACCAGCCATATGTTTTTACTGGTCTGTTTACTAGCCATCTCCAGTTTTGCCTGTGCACCATTTCCCTTGAAGAGTGTGCACGCGAGTGTCCCCCAGCCTCCCTTTTGTCGGCACTGTGGGCTGTCGTCTACAGCAGTGGTCATCTGGTTTGTGTGGAAACGTCATGCAGTATAGATATGTACAACTGTCCCCAGATTGATCCTCTAGCAACCTAGATGAAGAATCCTTCTGAATAATTTTTTTGAAAAGATAAGCTGCTGGTTCAAGTGCTGAAACCCAGCAGTTCCAGTCTTATTTTCTATCATTTGGAAAGCAACAGAAAGTGCTAGTAGTCACATTTATGAAACAAATAGCAAGATATGTAAAGAGAAAGTGACTAAGAAGAGTTGTGATGGTGGGGGTGCCTTTCTCCAGTTTTAATATTTTCTCTTCACGTAGTAGCATCTTCAGTAAGATGGAATGAGAGTATCTCAGTGCTTCTGAAGCAAATAAGAACTTAGAATTCACGCAAACTGTGTTATAGACAGTGTACTTGTCCTATAATCTCAAGTTGTCAATCCAGTACTGATTGCTTCATTCCTTAAAGGAAAGCACCTGGCTGCTTGAGGTTATGAATATTGGATTAAACGGACGTCAGAATGTATCAGTGATGCTCTGAGTGTCTCCACTGCTGGTCCTGTTTAGCAGAAACGCCAGCATGCCAGCAGACGTCCTCGCCGCTTGTTCATCTAACCTGTCTTGCTCTGCCCTTTTCACCTTTTGTTCCCTCTGAGCACCGAAAGGAGTAACCTATCAGAGCTTTTGCTGGAGGATGTTATAAATGAAAATTTAGTGTCTATTCCGTCAGCTTTGTCAACTGGGAGAAGTGGTGTGTGTGTCAGAACCTGGGAGAAGCTGTCCACAGAGAAAGTGTACCTGGCTCTAGTCTCTACTGCAGGGCAGAGAGCTGTGTTTAAACCAGGGCCATACTTTATATACAGGCTAAATGCTGACAGCTTGGGAAATGTGAGGCCTTTCACTGTGGCCTTGCAGCCACTGACCCAGACTTTCTGTCACATGAAGCCCTCCCATGGGGAGAGCTGGTGAAGTTTGCTTAATGTGATGAGAGTCTGCTTTTACATTATGTTGATGAAATAGACCCAGGCTGCCACACTGGGCACCTGTAAATTGGTTTACATTGTAAAAAATATTTTGGTTTCTTAAAAGATTTATTGTGGATTTTTGAGAGCTTGTGGGAGGTCTTTAATACAGTGACATCAATATCCTGATGCCCTGTGATCATTGCTACTGCGCTTCATGCGCCAGACGGCCTAAGGGAACCAGCCAGGAAAACAAGGAATTATTTCTTCTCTTTTTTAAAAAGCTCGATAAACTTAAAGAGAAGAGTAAATACATTTTTATTCCCTTTTTGAAATTAAAATAAAATTTTTTTTGGCCACGAACATATGGAGTTCTAAAATTATCTTTATTAATTATAAATATTAATTAACTACCTTTAAAAGGTAGAATAACCAAATTATTCTGTAAATCCATCAAATGTTTGTTTGTTTTAAAAAAGACCAAATTTCCAGCTGTAGTTAGGAAATTGTAGCTTTCAATTTTATATTTCCTTCATATATATGTTTTTTTCTATCACGGAATGTGTTAAGGATTCAGAGTTAAATCAGTCCCCATATGTAGTGATAAAAACATTAAATGAATACTGGAAATGAAGCTGTATCCTTCAAAAATCATTTCTAAATGGCCTGAATACTTTACATAATTACATGAGCAGATTTCTAAGATTGATTCATGAACTAAATCAAATTGCTGCACAAGCTGGTTGAATATTTTGAACCTGGAGAACTAATAAGCCTGTAAATGCTGCTCTTAAATATGTTACCTCTTCTGGGAGAGGCTGCAATGCAAAGCCCAGTGTGAGAGCAAATGCCATTGAAAAGGGGGACAATGCCAAAGTAAATGACATTTGTCAGTACTGACATTAGACTTATTCACGTAAGGTCTTCTGGACAAGTTTATCGTCCCCCACTTTGATGCTTCAAAATATTCTCATAAAAATTTATTTAAAAAGTCACCTTTTAACGCAAAAGCAGTTGGTGATACTAAATAGAAATGGTAGGTAGGAGCCATTATTCAGTTGAGGCCCTGAGCTAGTGGTAAATGTGCAGTCCCTCCTGTGTGCAGCAGGGAGTAATGCAGAACACACATCACTTACCCAGTTACAAAGAGAGATAAAGGAATCTATAAATTTTGCATTTACAAGATCCTGCAACGAAGGCGTTGTAAGTTGCTCTTTCTGGGCACCGCAGGTTCGAGCAGCACAGAGGCTAAGGACAGCTGCAGTGTGGACCATGGGCCCCTTGGGGACGGCGGTGCGCCGGGGCCGGCTGATAGCTGCCTGTTCCCCAATGGGGGCGGTGGCATCCTCGGCAGGAAGCGGCCCCTGGACGAGGGCAGCAATGGGCATGCCAAGTTCCGCCTGAAGAAGAGGAGGAGGGCGCCGGGGCCGGCCCTGCCCAAGAACGCGCTGATGCAGCTGAACGAGATCAAGCCCGGCCTGCAGTACACGCTGCTGTCCCAGACGGGACCCGTGCATGCGCCGCTCTTCGTCATGTCCGTCGAGGTGAACGGGCAGGTGTTCGAGGGCTCCGGCCCCACGAAGAAGAAGGCCAAGCTGCAGGCGGCCGAGAAGGCCCTGCGGTCGTTCGTCCAGTTCCCCAACGCATCCGAGGCCCACCTGGCCATGGGGAGGAGCCTGTCCGCCAACACGGACTTCACGTCCGACCAGGCTGACTTTCCAGACACACTCTTCAACGGCTTTGAGACGCCGGACAGATCGGAAGTGCCATTTTACATGGGCTCCAACGGAGATGACTCCTTCAGCTCCAGCGGGGACCTCAGCTTGTCAGCGTCCCCGGTGCCCGCCAGCCTTGTCCAGCCTCCCCTCCCGGTCCTCCCACCGTTCCCACCGCCCAGCGGCAAGAACCCTGTGATGATCTTGAACGAGCTGCGCCCGGGTCTGAAATACGACTTCCTTTCAGAGAGCGGGGAGAGCCACGCCAAGAACTTCGTCATGTCTGTGGTCGTGGACGGCCAGTTCTTCGAAGGCTCGGGAAGAAACAAAAAGCTCGCCAAGGCCCGGGCCGCACAGTCTGCCCTGGCCACCATTTTTAATTTGCACTTGGATCAAACACCATCTCGCCAGCCTATCCTCAGCGAGGGCCTCCAGTTACACTTACCACAGGTGAGGAAAGTCTGGTCGTGCCTTGATCATGATTTTAGATAGGACCTGGTTTTATTATCATGTTGACTTTCCATCTCATGTCACTCTGTCCTCACCACCAACAGTTACCAGTAAGTGTGGCTGCCCAGCAGCCTGTCCTAGATTTTGCTGGCCATGTGGTCCCTGGCCATCATGAGCCAGCCTGAGGCCATCACAGCATAGGTTGGGGACACCAGAGCAGTGCTGTCATCCCTCTCCATGCTGAACCTCACCTCAAAGGATAGTTCACAGTTCCCTCCCCGTATAGCTGCCCCTGTGGGGGGTGAGGCAGGCATCCATAGCAGCCTTTGATGAGAAGGGTAGGGAGCCAGACACCGGAACCTGCCCCAACCCAGGGTGTTTTCCTAAGTCTCACTGGGATTCTGGGCACAAGAGGAGGGAGTCTGGCCAGTCAGCTGCTAAAACCCAAGGGTGTCAGGGCTCTGGCTCCAGTGGGACTGGTTTGCAGCTGCATTCCTGTGCCCACAGCAAAAGGGAGCGAGTGTCAGAGGGATAGGGGGCCCTTAAGCAAGTGCTCCAGGTCCACCAGGCACCCGGGTCTGTCTGTACCTGGTGGGATTCATGCAGGCTTCCTTTTTCCTGGCCCCCTACACCCATTAAAATCAGGGTGAACAGAGGAAACATTCAGAGGGACTCAGATAGGCATCTGTGAAGGAGGAAGACTGAAGGAGGAAGACTTACTGTCATTTCCAAATCCTACAACTCATTATTTATTGCTTCTTTTCTTAGAAATCCAAGATTCTCTCGTCTACTGTAAAAATCAGTCTTTTAGGGAGAAAACCTGATCCTCTTCTCCGTTTATTCCTTCTTGTCAAAGTGCGATTCAGTTTGAAGATAAATATATAGTGGTTTGATCAGAAGAATTGAAGGACTCGATATTGATGGATAGGATGGCCTGTGTTCTCTTAGAAGAACTCAAGAGCGCCAGCTCCCTTTCACCTTTGAGCCAGTTAGAGTAACCTGTCCTCTGAGATGACCAAGGTCCTCAGTTTTAAAAGAAGGAAATTTATTTTATTTTGCCTAAAGCAACCGAATGCAGCATCAATATAAAGCAAAGGTGGGGAACTTTTGGCTCATGGGCCGTATATGGCCCGAGAAGTCATTTGGTCTGACCCTGCCAAGGCAACTGTAGGTGGGACTCAAAATTCAATAAATCTAGGCATTTTTTTCATAGCTAATTTTTAAGTTGATAATTTTATATGGTCTGAGAATGATGTTATGAATATCCAAATGACCCTTGGCAGAAAAAAGGTTCCCCACCCTTGGTAAAGTAACATGCTCAAAGTAATGTACTGATTTTTTTTCATGAACCAAATAATTGCTTCCCATGTTAAACTCTTACTATCAGTCCATTCATAGTTTTACAAATCGGTGGCACTAGTTCCCAAGTCAAGTGATGTTTTATTTTCAAGCTTACTATATGCTAAACCTATTTCAGCCTGAGTTCAAAACAGCGTCTGACTTGGCCTGTCTTCCCTGAACGTGAACAGGGTCATATGTAAGAGAATGGAAGTCGTACTGAATGCTCTGCCTCCCAGATGCCAGGTTTCACAGTGCAGATGGGTAACACTGCGGAGGGGAGGCAGAGGGAGGTCTGTGTGTGTGCCTGTGCATGTGTGTGCATGCATGTATGTGTGTGCACTTGCAGCCTGAGCCCCAGGCTGAGCTCAGTGGAGCAGTGACCAGAGCCCCTGGCCTGGGAGGGTGGGGCCTGTGCAGCCTCTCTGGGGAGGGTGTCTGTGGGAATCCTACAGTCAGGGGCCGCCCCACACCACTTACCCAGATTCTGCAGGTGCTGAGTAGTCGTTTCTGGAGCTCTGTGGTCTCTAGACAGTGAGGCCTGGGGGAGTGGAGTTGTATCTGCCCCCTAGTCTCTGCCAGCAGTAGCCCCATCATGTCTCCAGAGACCCCTGGTGGCTCCGGTAACCATGTTCTCCTGGAGGACCTGGGGGGTGGTTTCACAGAATCAACCCAGGCCTTGTTTCTGGGCTCCATTGTCTTTCCCCTGGGAATCTCAAATGCTTCTAGAACAGTGTAAATTCCTATGTTTCCCGCAAGTAACCCATGCAGGATTTGGGTCAAATGTCCCTGGTCTTATGATTGTTTGCCTTCATGGTGTTCATACTGGCACTAGAGAGTTTAAAAAGCAGGTGATGTTGACCATGTGATGAGTGTGAAACACCCTGTCAGCACTGAATGTTATTTAGCAGCCTAGCCGGACCTCCCTGCCTCTCTGCCCTGAGTGTCGTTGCAGGAGGCAGTGCTGTGGGGCCTATAGTGGTATGGGCTTGCCGTTTAGGAGCTTGTTACTTTGCCATTATATCTGCCCCCTTGTTTAGAGGGAGAGGTGCTTCATTACCCATAAAGAATGAGGTAGTGACCCCTTTAAGGGGGGTGGAAGAATGTCCATGTGTGCAAATGCTGGCACCACACAAGCAAGTGTGCACAGGAATGCTGACTTCCACTCAAGTGTCTCCTAACTAGTGAAACTCCTGTGCCTAACCTATGAAATGAAACTTTTATCCCCTCTGGCTGTCCTTAACCTTTCATTATTTTTTCCTTCTATATAAGTTGGAACGCGTTGTCCTTTATCTGTGGTGCCCTTGGCATCGTTTGGTTGCACATCTGTTTCTGTCTGTGGTCTGACTCCCTTCCCTGTGCTCATACCTGTAGCATCAATGCCTCTGCCAAGGTGCCAGGTGAGGCCCGTGGGCCCCACCTGGGCATTCTGCCCACCCACCACATGGCTGGTCTTGAGCACTGTCCCCTGGAATTTGCTGGTACAATGACAGGAGGAAAACTTCCTGATAACTATGCTTTTTCCAAATAACTCATTATTTAGGATGAGTGACTTTTCTATTCATTTTAAGCCTATTTTTTTAAGGGCCAAGCTGGGGACACTAGATTTGGCCGTTTGTCAAGACAAGTGTGAGATTGGGGGGATATAGGTCCAATGTGGCTCTTTACACATACATATACACGTTAGCACTGTTTCCCAGAACACTATGGGTTCACTTTATCCATAACTCATGAGCCATAAAAATAAGATGTGTCCCAAATCTAACAGATAGTTTGCTTCTAAGAAGCAGTCCCTGGAGGACAGTGCTGTCCGATCTGGTCACATTCCAGTGAAGTGTTCCAGGCATCACTAAGCACCTTCCCTTGAGTACATCCTACTGTCATTTGATCTGAGGGATAGCTGCCCCACAGGCTCTGCTCAGTGCTGGATTTGGAGAGAGTGACTGAACCAGGGTGATTTGTCTTAGGTGTTAAAATAACTGAGACATATTTGATGGGCGGGGCCTTTGAGAGGGAGGTGCTGTGCAAAGCTCATGATTCTTCGATTTGACCGCCCCTTTCTCCTGCCCATGCTCCCTAGTCTTGCCAGGCTGGGCTGGATACTCAGAGAGCCTGGGCAGCAGAGCAGTGGAGGGGGGAGGCAGGTGACCCCAGGAAGGCACTCTTGCCACCCTACACCACCGTGCTCTTATTGGAGGGCAGGGCTGGTGCGCTGTGAGGACCGGAGGGGCAGCAGGGCATGCCCCATCTGCACCAGCTTGGGCTCCCATACAGCTAGACTCTGGGCTGTCCCTGCCCTTAAGGCTCTGGCAAAAGATTCCAGCCATGGCCTCGCATGTTCCTTGGATGTGTGTTTCCAAGGAGTGCTTTGGAGGAAACACACACATACGCACGCATGCATGCACACATTTGTTTACCCGATTTACTCTGGGATTCTCCAGAAGAGAAGCCATCTGAGCCACCACCCTGGCATTTGCAGGCAGGTGCAGGCGCCTAACCCCCTGCTGTGGTCCTCAGGTGTTAGCAGACGCCGTGGCCCGCCTGGTTCTGGATAAGTTTGGTGATCTGACAGACAACTTCGCCTCCCCCCACGCACGCAGGAAGGTTCTTGCTGGAATCGTCATGACAACAGGTAAACATCTTGCCCTATAAAAACTTCTGACTCTAACAGGAAAATTGTGTTTTCCCTCTTCAGAATGTCTGCTGTCTGCAAATGTGGGAACTACTTACTTTTTCCCCCAAATGTTCATCTTTTCAACCTAAGTTGTTTTCATTTGGAGAAGCACCCTATGTTAGTGTTGGATTCCCACAATTGTGGGTGAGTGGTCTGGATCTGCTCGGGAAGCTGCAGGAGACGTGTGAACTCCTGCTTCACAGGAAAGTAGGACATATCTGATTTACCAGTTAGTGTTCATGCTGCAGGTAGGGTTCTGTGTGGCTTTTGAGGAGAGAGGAAGCTCTAGCAAGAGTTGAAAATCTGTGGGGAAAACACACTGTTTGGGATGGCAGGAGGAACCCTATTAAATTTGTAGAAGTTCCCAGTCATGGAAGGAACCCTTCCCCAGATCCTCTTCCCACACCAGCGAGTGGGACAATGTGCTGCAACTCCATGGGGTCTCCTAGGAACAGGAAGCCACAACCTGACCAATGCCCAGATCCTGTGGTGGTGCAGGCAGGTTTTGGAGAGAGGACCCCCACACCCTGTCATTTGGGCCTCTCTCTGCTGGCAGCATCCACAGTGTGTGCAGGGAGCAGGCCTGGAGGCCAGGGAGCAAGGGGCTGGGAGCAGCATTTCTGTCTCCACTAGCCAGGAGAAAACCCCAGCTCTATGTAGGTGGCTGTGTTGTCCTCTCCAGAGGGAATTTTCTGTCCAGCTGGGGAAAGGACATGATTCTGTGATCCTCACGTTGATCCCCCCAAGCCCTGGAGTACAGGACGACTTTTTTTTTTTTTCATTCATTTTTTGTTTGTTTATTTTTGTTTAAAATATTACAGATGTCCCTTTTTCTCCCCAATGACTCATTCTACCCCATCCCACTCCCCTCCCCGGTCCCTCTCNGTGAACTCCTGCTTCACAGGAAAGTAGGACATATCTGATTTACCAGTTAGTGTTCATGCTGCAGGTAGGGTTCTGTGTGGCTTTTGAGGAGAGAGGAAGCTCTAGCAAGAGTTGAAAATCTGTGGGGAAAACACACTGTTTGGGATGGCAGGAGGAACCCTATTAAATTTGTAGAAGTTCCCAGTCATGGAAGGAACCCTTCCCCAGATCCTCTTCCCACACCAGCGAGTGGGACAATGTGCTGCAACTCCATGGGGTCTCCTAGGAACAGGAAGCCACAACCTGACCAATGCCCAGATCCTGTGGTGGTGCAGGCAGGTTTTGGAGAGAGGACCCCCACACCCTGTCATTTGGGCCTCTCTCTGCTGGCAGCATCCACAGTGTGTGCAGGGAGCAGGCCTGGAGGCCAGGGAGCAAGGGGCTGGGAGCAGCATTTCTGTCTCCACTAGCCAGGAGAAAACCCCAGCTCTATGTAGGTGGCTGTGTTGTCCTCTCCAGAGGGAATTTTCTGTCCAGCTGGGGAAAGGACATGATTCTGTGATCCTCACGTTGATCCCCCCAAGCCCTGGAGTACAGGACGACTTTTTTTTTTTTTCATTCATTTTTTGTTTGTTTATTTTTGTTTAAAATATTACAGATGTCCCTTTTTCTCCCCAATGACTCATTCTACCCCATCCCACTCCCCTCCCCGGTCCCTCTCCCCACCATTGTCCATGTCCTTGGCTTGTGCATATATGCATATAAATTCTTTGGTTAATCTCTCCCCCTCCACCCACCCGCCTTCCTCCATCCCTCTGACATTTGTCAGTCTGATCCATGCTTCCATGTCATTGAATCTATTCTGTTCATCAGTTTATCAAGTTCTTTAGATTCCACATATAAGCAAGATCATGTGATGTTTGTCTTTCGCTGCCTGGCTTATTTCACTTAGCATAATTTTCTCCAGGTCCATGCATACTGTCCCAAAGGGTACGAGATCCTTCTTTACAGCTGCATAGTATTCCATGTGTGTGAATGTCCCACAGCTTTTTATCCATCAGCTACTGATGGGCACTTGGGCTGTTTCCAGTGGGACGACTCTTGAATCGCAAGCGTCCTCCCTGCAATGTTAGTGCTTTGGCACAGCTGAGCGTGTGTCTGAGGGGCAGATGATGAACTCTGAACTTTAACAGGGGTTTCATGTTTTCTCTGATGTTGGTGCCTGTATTTTCCCTCCTCTTCTCTCTGTACACTTACATAACTGAAAGGTGAGCTTTTCAGCTGCTGACACAACAGTTCCCTGAGAAGGCTCTGTGGCTCCAGCACCAAGGCGTGGGCAGGCGGTTCTGTCATCCAGCTCTTCTCACCACTGTAGAAGGGGCAGATAACCGCAGGGCAGCATTTGCACCTAGGCGTGAATTCCACTTGGGATGCTGCTCAAAGCCACAATTCACATCTGCAGGCAGGACTACACAGCACAGGCCATGTGGTTCTGACCTCAGATGGCCTCCACTCGTTGAATGACCTTGGCCAGGTTATTGATCCCTCTGTGCCTCAGTTTCCTGGTCTGTAAAATGGAGGCAATGGTAGCCTGTACCTTAAGGATGTGGGATGAAGTGAGAATACCTGACCTGGTAGAGCCCGCACAGTGCTGGGTGACACAGACATGCAACAGATGGTGCAGTTTATACCTGGTGACGTTTGGGACCTTTGCAGTATGTTGTCTGTCGACAGATTTACCATCAGTGGCCGCTCTTCTGCAGGTTCCCCAGTGCTGAGGGTTTCCTTCCAGCAGTTAGTGGGTGACAGGGACTCCTAATGAGCACGCTGCAAATGGCTTGTTTTCCTTCTTACCCCTTCCTCATCGCCTCTTTAGTGCTTTGATATTAATTTCAAGATTAATAACCAGACTACCTATCTACCTTCACATAGTGCTTCCTCCCTGTATCCAACAGGACTGTTCAAGAAAAGACGATTACATTCCAGAGGAAGTAACTTCCCTAAGTGTAGAACCTTCACATGGCAGAGTGAGGACGGTTGGCTTCCAGGAGTGTTGCAGAGCCCATCCTCTGGGAGGCCTGCAGCCGTGGCGGGGGGTGGGGTGGGTAACGTGCGCTGAGTTCTCTGCCAGGTTCCGTCACCTAGGACACATGTCAGGCCTGGGGGCTCAGGTAGGCGCATGACTGTGACTAGAGGAATGGTCTCTCTTGTTTTTCAGGCACAGATGTTAAAGATGCCCAGGTGATATGTGTTTCCACAGGAACGAAATGTATTAACGGCGAGTACATGAGTGACCGTGGCCTTGCTCTGAACGACTGCCACGCAGAGATCATATCTCGGAGGTCCTTGCTTAGATTCCTTTATACGCAGCTTGAGCTTTACCTAAAGTAAGTCTAGTAAGTAAGTAAAGGAAGCTGTTTTAAAAGGTTTTTCTCCGTCAGGAAACACTGCACAACTTTCACTGAAAAATTCTCAAAATAATAACTGTCGGTAACAGTGAGGTTGGACCCCATTTTCCCATGATGCTCAAGCTACAAATAGAGTTGGCTAATTTACAGCACACATATGTATACACACACGTACATATGTGCACACACATGTATGCACACATACATAATAGCATCGCAGGTTTCAGGTCTGTGCTCAGACCCTGTGCTTTTGTTTTCTGCAGTATGACAGCAGTCGAACGCCACTGCCTGGTAAACACGGTCATTTTTATTCCAGTCACTGTGCCTAAAATCAGCCCAGCATGGATCCAAACTGCTTTTCTTTACCAAGCCATCTCTACACAGTCATCCTGTTTGGAGTCAGAAGTGAGAAGGAAAGGAGGAATACTTGCATTTCGATGGCATGTCCATTGTTGAGTGGACAGGAACTGTGTGAATTACCACAAAAATGTAAAATAAGGATTCCAGTTCCAGCTTCTCTTTACCCCGTTGAAAATATGGGCCTCTGAAAATCACTGGGAGCTGGGGCAGACTGGATTTTGACCGCACGCAGCTGGAAAGTTTACTTTGCGACTTGTTTCCTTTCAGTAGCAAAGAAGATCAAAAAAAATCCATCTTCCAGAAGTCCGAGCGGGGAGGTTTTAGGCTGAAAGACACCGTCCAGTTCCATCTGTACATCAGCACCTCTCCCTGTGGAGACGCCAGGATTTTCTCACCACATGAACCAATCCTGGAAGGTACAGCCAGGCTTCTTGACAGTCAGCAGGTTCTCAGAATGCATGGTCACATGGTAACAGACAAGACTAAACGTACATTAGTATCCTTTGTTTTTTTAATATCAGCCTTGAACGTGGATCTGAGGAATACTTAAAAGCATGAGGTTTTACTTTTCCATGAATAATTAACTAGAAAATTTTAATGAATGAAAATGTTGAATCTAATAAACTATGAAATTGGAATAGAGTGAGTACATCACATCAGAATTGTTTTCAGCACCTAAATTTGGACAGTATATGTCTCTAAATCGGAGAGACATATTTCCTCTCCCATATTTCTGATGAATCATAACGTAATAAATGCGTAATTGGAGTGTTTGGCTGAAATTCCAGAAGCAGGTTCAGACTAATGGAAAGGGAGACCCTGTTTCTATCACATCTTCCCACCCTTCTCTGCATGAGTTAGTTCTTTTGTTTCACACGAATTTGTGTCCACATCTCTTCTCCCAAGCTTAAACATTATTTGTTCCTAATAGAACATTTGATTGTGTAATTTTCCTTGATTATGAAAGCAACACACTCACTGTGGAAAATTGCTAAGTATTTTTAAAATAAGAAAGAAAATTTAAATCACCCATTTTCGTATGACCCAGGGGTAGTCTCTGTGGACGTTTGTACATGCTTCCTGTGGGCTTATTTCTGCTCCCTATGGATTTCTTTATAAAATTTTGAAAATACGGGGGAAAATATAACACCCAAATATCCAACACATAGAATTAACAAATGTTAGCATTTTGTCCTATTTGCTTAAGCTCCTTTTTAACGATAGAAATCAATTGCTTTGGCTGAAATGGAAGCCCTCTTTTCCCCATCCCTGAGGAAGGCACTTCTGTGAATTTGGTTTGTATTATATCCTTCCTGTCCAATTTCATATACTTATACTGTACATATGTGCTATAGATACACAGTAACCGCCTGCACATACTGGCGTAAACTGTTGTAAATTTGTAGAGTGTAGTTAGATGTGCTTCCCAGTGAGTGGAACACATGGTTTCCTGCCGGTGACTTCCTTCTCCTGTTTCTCTCTTAGAACCAGCAGACAGACATCCAAATCGAAAAGCCAGAGGGCAGCTGCGGACGAAAATAGAATCTGGGGAGGGGACCATCCCGGTGCGCTCGAATGCGAGCATCCAGACATGGGATGGGGTGCTGCAGGGGGAGAGGCTGCTCACCATGTCCTGCAGCGACAAGATGGCTCGGTAAGGCCCCTGGGGGCACCTGACCCTCCCCACTGCGACAGTCACCCCTGATGGCTTTCAAAATCGTGAATTTTGTCCCCACTCCCTACTCCAGTGTTCCCTGCATTCTTTGAAGGACTAAAGCTCTAGAGAGGCTCCAGGACCCTCTGACAGGGTGAAGGCGGGCCTTTACCCAGGAGTTCCAGGCTGTCCACTGCCATTCTGCAAAACCAGCATCCCGCCCTTTATTACTATTGTTATTCGTGGGCTTCTGGGGTGAACCAATGTGTTTCACTGGACGTTTTAAAATGATTTGCTCCCAGAGAAAGCAAAGAGGTTCCTTGTTTGTCAGAGGTGTAACTTTAATGGTTATGTTCACTCTTCAGTTAGTATTTGGGGTAATTGGTGTTTACATTTAAAAAATAATGTGACACCCGTCACAGGCATTGTGCTCTGAGTACTGGGAGCACCCACTGGTGGTCAGGGTGAGGTTGGGGTGCTGCAAACACCCATCGAGTTTCAGTCCCCTGAGAAGTGTTATTCTTTCAGGAGCCTGCATCCCAGGCAGATTATAGAAAACCCCATTTCTTCAGATGCTGGTCTCAGTTCTAGTAGTTATTTATCTTCTAACAAACATTAAAGACTTCTGTCCGTCCTCACCCCCTTTTCAGGCTCAGTAACTTGCTAGAACAGCTCATAGAACTAAGGGAATATAGTTACTTAATTGACCATTTTATTGTAAAGGACACAAGTCAGGAACAGCCCCAGGAAGAGATGCCTAGTAAGGGTGGGGTGCAAGTATCTTCTGTGCTCTCCGGCCCCACTGTCCTAGCGCCTGAGGTGTTCACCAGCCTGTCAGGTTTTATGCAGATTTCCATCACATAACCATGATTGATTAAATCATTGGTGATTGGTGATCAACTTGATCCCGTTCCTCTCCCCACTCCATCTAATTATGTGGTCAGTTTCCCTGGCAACCAGCCCCCATCCTCCTAGAGTCACCTCATTTTTGTAAACTCGGATGTGATTGAAAGGAGCTTAATATTAAATATCACACCAACAGATGGCCATGGCTTGACAGCCAGAACAGCCATGGCCCAGAAACCATGCTGGCAGCCGGAACACTGCCCACTGGCTGCAGTCCTCCTGTCCTGTCCCGTCCTGAGGGGATGAAATGACAGCCTCTTGAGTGACCATCACGGATGAGAGGCAGTGGGCAGGTGCTGGGCGAGATGTCCTGTGTCTCTCACAGAGGGACAGAGCAGTGGACTATGTGTCCCAGCCTAAGGGGCAGGAAGTGGGGGAGGGGCAGAGGGCAGGCTTAGGAGTGAAGGCCACAGTGGGCAGGGGGAGGGAAGGAAGGTAGAGTGCTATTGCTGGGATCACCGGGTGTTGTCTGGTGGGTTGGTGGGCAGTAAGGCTGAAGGCAGCCACCACCCCTCTCAAGACTGCATGGGTCACAGTGATGCGAATGGAGTTAACCATCTCATGGTGAGTTGCATCTCATGATGGGAAGGCGCCAGGTCTCAGTTCTGATGACCACGGCCTCTGTGGTCTGGGCTGCATGGAGCTGTGGAAGGAAGCAGAGACCACCTTCCTGAGGGCAGACAGCTTGGCTATTCGGAGCTGCTGTAGCAGGCAGGGTGAGGGGAGCTCTAGTGGACAGGGGAGGCTCAGGTGTGTTCCATGGAGGCTGTGGGTGAGCTAGCCAAAAATGGGGCCACTTCTGGGGCCACTCTGGGTGGTCCCAAGTTGGAAGCAGGGACAACAGTTAGGGCAGCTGACCAAGTCCTGACTGCTGTGGGCCAGGTGCCATGGGGGCTGTGGTTGGGTCAGAGCTTTCCTGTGACTGGTCTGGCCATTGCCCACTTGTACACTCAGCCTCTCCGAGCTGGGCTGTGCACTTTACAGATCCAGGGACACACCTGCATGACAGCACTCTGAGCCCTGCCCTCTAAGAAATGATGTAAGGGAGACGAAAGACAAAGAGGCCTGGACAGCGAGCATGGCGGGTCCGAGTGAGCCCCCCTCAGCACCTGTTGGTTCTTCCAGTGCCACCCCAACAAGTGTCACTGGCAAACTGCTGTAGAGGCGGCTCCCCTATGGCCACCCACCTGTCGTCCCACCAGACCTTCCCCACACTGCTGACAGGTTACTTCCCAAAATGCAGACCACATCAGTCCCTCTCAGAAAAACACTTCCATTAAATTAGGTGGTGCCACCGCCTCCCCAAAAGGCCTTCAGGAGCTCCCGCTGCCCTGAGGAACAGCCAGTCCTTGTGGAGGTGGCTCAGGCCAGTCTGACCCTGCCCTGTCCCCACCCTGTCCCTAGGCCTGTCCCCTCACTGGATCTGGGTGGGGCTTCCCTCTCTCTGCCTCATACCCTGCTTTGGGTCTAAGTTCAGGGTCACCCTCTCAGAGCCCTCTCTGGAGTCAGCACCCCTCTTCTGCTTTTTCATGGAACCCTGCTCTCCTTCAAATTGATCTCAGCTCAACTTTTAATTCTTGATTCATGTGTTTGCCTTTTTACTGCTTGTTCCCATCCAGACAGCCCACGGACTCCAGGAACATGTGGGCTATGTCATCTCTGCACCCTGAACTTAGGCCCAGCACCAAGGGTGCAGACTCCCCAGACTCCCCAGGCTGTAGAGTGCTTCTCCTGTTTGTGGGGCTCAGAGAGAGAGAGCAGCGGTGTGTTTATGGGATGGTGTGTGAATTAGAGTGCAAACAAACACCTGGATGTCAGTGATGTGAATGATTGGTTTAATAGAAGTCATATAGTCACTCCCTCTCCCGGTGTGGTTCCAGTATCACTGCTGCTGTCCATGGCAGGGCAGGCCTGGTGACCAAAAGGCAGTGGGGAGAGCACACCTCTCTCCCTGGCATGGCTGATTCTCACCTCCTAGTGTTAAATGGAGCCTGAGTCAGAGTTGTCACCAAGGAACAGGAAATGATGGTTTAATGTTTTGAGGGACTCCAGAGCGATAATTTTTGTTAGAAGTGATAAAATATTTACTTTCCCTTTTGATTTTTCTCACAAAAAATGTGCCTCGTGGATACTTTGTTGGAACTAACCTTTAGTAAGTGTGCCGTCATTGCAAAGGTCGTTCGACAGCTCAAATGATTTTTACATAGCTTTTTCTCTTTAAAGTTCTAAACTGCTAAGTCAGCTATTTCTAGCTGCTGTCTCTTTAATTGGCTGACACTGGTGCCGAATTAACAGGCATCTGTACATGCAGGCAGGTGGCATCAGGTCTGTGATAGATGCTGCACTCCTGCTGAGGCCCGTGTCTCTCTGCCGGCAGGTGGAACGTGGTGGGCATCCAGGGCTCCCTGCTCAGCATCTTTGTGGAACCGATTTACTTCTCGAGCATCATCTTGGGCAGCCTCTACCATGGGGACCACCTCTCCAGAGCCATGTACCAGCGAATCTCAAACATCGAAGACCTGCCCCCTCTGTACACCCTCAACAAGCCTCTGCTCAGTGGCAAGTATCCCCGAGCATGATCTCATCCCTTTCAGATTAACTTCTTATGCAGTGTCCACATCGTGTGGATAAAAACACCTCAGGGAAGCTGCTGTAGAGTACCTTTCTTCAGAGGACAGTTGGGGCCACTCTGAAGGGAGGGGGTGGCTATTGCAGAGCCTGTGAGAGTTATTATATGAGTCCTGCTATAAGGTTAATCTCTTACTGACTGAAAACTTTGCCATTCGTAAAGGAGCAGCAGCCCAGATTTGGCACCTTCGCATCTTTCATATGTATGTATTCAGGCCCTGTCTCTGTAGAAAGACTAACAGATGCTGTGGAAATTATACACATCGGCTGTCTGAGATCAAGGTGGACTGGGCCACCAGAATATGTGGTCATAGTGATGAGCTGCCACCACAAAGCCAGCCCCTGTGCAGGTGGTGGCAAGTCCTGGCTCCTCACGCCCAGCTTGCTCTTATGAGGTTGGTCATATAATTGAAATGTACCCTTGACACATGGGATGTGATGGTATGGACCCGGACAGGCCTGGGTGTCAGGGGTGTGATCCTGTGGACCAGGACAGGCCCGGGTATAGGGGTGTGATCCTGTGGACCAGGACAGGCCCAGGTGTCGGGATGTCTTGCACTTGTCCTGTGCATCTGTTGTTACTGGTTTGTTTATTGTTTTTCTTTTAGAATTTCAGTGGTTAACAGCAGAGTGATCAAGAGCTTTTGAATTCAAGGGCTCTAACTTCTCAGTTCACCCTTATTTTAAAGGACACAAGGTATTTTTATCCTGTTGAAAACGTCGTTGTACTTATTTTTTGATCTCAGAACTAAAACCATAACCTGAACTAACCGCGTGTCCTGGAGTGCGTGTGCGCTGGCCGGCAGCACAGCCGTAACAGCAGCGCGTGGGAGTGTACTGACAGCGTGGCTCTCAGAGCACAGCCGTTCGCACGAGCGGGGAAAACACTGGTTGTCTCAGAGCTCCCAAACCTTAGCCACTACTTTTTTGAGAAGAAGTAGAGTTTGATAAAACTTGATTGTGGGAAGGTTGAAACTGTAGCATCCACACCCACGTAGCCTCCTGGAAGCTATGAAGTACTTGTCAGTATTTCACTGTGTGTTGGCGGACAGATGTCTTGTGCATCAGTGAATAGTTTTTCCTGTTTACTCTCTCTGTTCTATGTTTGAGTGCTTTGCTTAATTTCAGCTGTCACTTGTCTCCTGGCTTCACAGACACTGAAAACACGGTGTGTGAAACCTGTGGCACAGGCGCAGCTCAGACCAGTTACTGACTAGCGCCTGGATGAGAGCCATCTGAGCAGCGTCGCAGCCCTAGTGGGGGGCCAAGAAAACAGGATCATTTCACTAAAGGAATATTCTAAGATACTGAAACCAGAGCTCATTTATAAAGGCAGATTATTTTTATCATATCAGATGTACATGAAGGGCATGGATGGCTATAAAAAGATACTGAAAAGTAGCCTTTGCAAGACAAACCTTGAAGTCATCGATGCATTCCACCTGTTTGTTAAAAACATAAAGGAAATAACAAAATTGAAGAATCCACTCTTCATTCTCCTCTCCCCAGTATCACCTCGAATGCCAAAGCCTGAAGCCCCCGCCATGCTGTTTGGGCCTCACTGAGCCCACCTGGCAGCCGCAGCCTAATCAGAGCCAAGGCCGCCTGCTGTAGCTCCACCTTGTTGGCTGCTCATTCCTCGGTTTCTCCCTCTGTCTAGTGATGGGGACAGACCAGATGCCCTCTGCGATCCTTTTGGGCAAGTGTTAGAATTCTGTGAAGTGTAAGGACAACACTCGAGTTTTGGGAGACAGGCCGTTTCTTGAATGCTGAGCCCATGGCAACGCACTCTGGCATCACCATCTATTTTGCAATGCAAACTGTTTGAAGTATTGGTCTTTGGAGAAATTCTTGACTTTGGAAACAGTGGTGTTTTGCTGTTGTTTTTCTTGAAGGGAGCTCAAATTGGCACAGCAGGTAGTTTGGAGAAGACACCTGCAGACAGGGCCCTCCTGTGAGGCCAGCAGGGTTGGTGCAGCAGGACAAGGCAGCTGAGGGCTGAGTGGGGGCAGAGATGCTGCTTCCTCATGGGCTGCACAGGCGCTGCCCGGATTGTGGAAATCACTGTTACCAGATGGAGGGAATTGAGTGAGGGGACCTAGAGGGGAGAGTTTGACATCTCACAAGTGGGAAGTCACACGCCTATAGATGGATGTGTTTCCTTCAGTCCTCTTTCTGTGTCTGCGCCGTGTTTCAGTCCTCTTTCTGTGCCTGTGCCATGTGAACATGTGTTTGTTGCAGTTCATGCCACGCTTGCCGTGCTGTTTCACTGCACATTTTATCACAGAGATCATCATATCCATGTTAAAGAGGGAGTGACATACGGTGGCGCCCATAGAATTGTAGTGTCGTAAGGGAGGGACAAAAATGGACATAAATTCAGAGAGGATAACTAAATCAACTAAAACAAGATCACCTAAAAACCGAAGCCAGTCAGATAGACCTTTAATGAAAAATTTAGTAGACTATTGTTTTAAACCCTGTCTAGGTTAAAGTGAGAAGAATTTAATTTTATTTCAGCATACAGAGCATATTTGATTCTAAGAGAGAATCCTGGTAGTGAGCTGTGAGCCATCTGAGCCTTTACCTTGAACACTCAGGACTCCCTTCCCTGCCATTTTGGGAATGGAAGCCTCTCCAGTGCACATGTGTCTCCTTCCCAGGTTACTTTCAAATCCTGTACCTGCTGGTTTCAGGACAATTCTAGCCTCTAATTCTATCCATTGGCCCCCTGAGCCTGTTTCTCCACTGGCCCAGTTTGCTGTCGGGGCACTGGAGAGAACTCCAGAGGGAAGGCCAGTAGTCTTGACTGTCCCAGTGCCTGCACACCCTCTGCCAGGGAAGAGCCATGTCACCATTTATAGTAGTTGGTAAAAAGAGCTGACTCTTATGTCAGGATAGGGAAGCCTTAAATGAGAGAGAGAGAGAGAGAGAGAGAATATAAATATGAATAGGATGAGAGAGTGTGTGTTTCCCAGGCAGGAGTAGGCCCCCAAGTGTGGTGACCCCTTTTCTCGTGCCCCAGCTTAAATGGCAGGTTATTTCACAGCTTTTGGGGCCCTAAGGGTCACTGACACAGGGGCTGGGAGGCCCGAGCAGATGGCCTCTGTCACCATCACTATGAGGTGTGCCATACACTGAGTTCCTTATGCTTTAGCTCCTAAATACCTGCTAGTAAGCATTATGCATACAGTTTCATTTCTGATCACTCACAGTAGTGAGCACCTCTTAGAGAATTCCTGTTAGAGGGAAAGAAGAAATACCAGCTCTTCGGGTTTTGCACTCGTACTTGTTATTAGGCCTGTTCGGTTTCTCTGTATTTTTGCTCTGGAAGTTCTGAGTCAGCACACATCTTTACAACGGCAGAGAGATTCTCATTCCCAGCCGTGCAGCTCCTGCTGTCTCTGGCTTCGCCCTGTGGCCTGTGATTCACTCATTACCCTAGTTCTTGCTTTGCAGCCCTGGAAAGATAAGCTTTCCCTGGTGTCAGTCCTCACAGTAGTGTTGGCCCCCTGGGGCTCGGAGAAATACGTTGTCCTCACCTTTGGGGACATTCTGCGCTAGAAAAAGCATATGGTCAGTATTGGAAGCCCAAACTACCTGTTTTCTTTTTGCCTTATTTTCTCCATTTTTGCTAAAGATGGCACCTTATTTAGCTTAAAATATAAAAAATATGTGTACTGTGAGAGTCTTGCTTTTTCAGGTAATTGACCATTTCTAGTTTTAATGCAAAATGTTGTAACTCTGAGGTTTAAGTATCATTCAGCAGTAACCTTTTATTTTGACCTTATCACGGAGGAGTAATAGACTTGTAAGAAAGATAAGCATTACCCATCTATTCATGAGTGACACGGTTCCATTGTGATCAGAGATTCCCAACAGTTGTGCCTACACAGATCCCCACCTGTCCACCCCCAAAACTCCTCCCTGGCTCTCACTTTTTGAAAGGGTGTGACCTTGAATAAGTTCAGTGCCAGTGTGGTGACCTGTAGGAACACCCTGCCTGCCAGCAGGTGCTGGAGATGGAGCAGATGCGGCAGCAGCCGCTGCAGACCCACCCCCCGACAGCCATGCCAGTAGAAACTGGAGCGTAAGGAGGAGTGTCCTGGCCGCAGAGATCAGTAAAGCGGGAAAATGGTGATGTCAGGACTACGCTTGACCCCTAGCAGTGCTGTGGTGTCTCCTGGCTTTGTGCTACGGGGGAGAAGCCAGCCTCTTTCTCTGTGGGAGTCTCCCCTGTGTGGTCAAGGCCCCCGACTGTCCCAACAGCCAGGCAAGGACCCGGCTGGACCTCTGAAAGGCTGCCCAGCAGCCTTTCAGAAGGAAAACAGGAAGAAATAATAGAAGAAAACTTCTTGGCTAAGGGAACCACAAGTGCTAAAACTGAGTGTGTACTGAGTACTGAGCATAATTAATTTTAAAAGAGACCATTCCCAGTACATCTTTCTGAGATTCCAGAACATGACATACTCATCAGTGCACCAGGAGCCAGACTGAGTGATGAAATGACTCCCAATTCTGAGGAGAAAATGTGCTTATTGTAGAATTTTTTATCTAACCAAATATTAGGCATTTTGATAAAGTGATACTGTTCATATATTCAAGGACTCAGAGGATCTATCTCCACTGTATATTTTGGAGGAAAAAGAGTAAGGATGCTCTAGCAAAATGAAGCAGACATACATCTAAGAAAGAAAACCATGGGATCGAATTATCTTATAAATCAGCATTGCAATGACAGGATAACCAGCAGCAAACCTATAAGAGTTCTAGTTAGAACAGGGAATCATGTCAAAGCTCGAAAAGGATGTCTTTCAGAAGAAAGTGAGTGTATGTTCACAAATAACCTGAGAAGCCGCATGGCCTTTCAGAGGTGAAAGCACATGCTTCTTTTACGAACAACAAAAAAACTAAGGAGTTGGAAACTCCAGGAAACCTGAAGAGCTGTTCAGGAAGGGAGTGGTTCACTATAAACCACAGAAAACTAAGCTCTGTGATACTTAGTTTTCTGCATCATCTGGCTGGCCAAGGGCGCTAGAGTACTTGTTCTTTCTGGGGGTGTCAGGGAGGCTATTTGCAGGTGGGGTTAGCATTTGATGGGTGGATTCAGTAAAGCAAACTGCCTTCCCAGCGTGGGTCCACCCACATTGCATCCACTGAGGCCTGCATCAAGGAGTCCATCCCTTTTTCCTGCCGGGCTGGTTGAGCTGAGACGTCTCATCTCACCTTCTATTGACTGGGACTCACACCATTGGCCCCCTGGTTCTCTGCCTTTGGACTTGGACAGAGCTACACCACCAGCTGTCCTGGGTCTCCAGCTCACAGACAGCAGGTCATGGGACTTCTCAGACTCCACAACCTTGGGAGCCAACCTCTCATCATAACTCTCCATACACCATACTGTTCTGTCTCACTGGGGACCCTGTCTGACACAGGTATGGTTTAGAGCAGTCACTGGAAGTTGAGACAGAGACTCCATTTGAAGTTGGGGCTCGCAATGCTCTCCTTTCAGTTAATAGACTTGATAATGAATTAACACTTTTTTCCCTCGAGTCTGTCATGCTGCTTAGCTCTGCAGTGCATCACATGGTCACTGTCACAAGTAACTGAACCGAAACTTATTACCTATACTGGTTACTTTGATTGCATGGCACTAAAACTAAACACTGGCTACACAGGGAGAGTATAAAAGGCCAAGTGCCTCTGCCATGTGGAAGTGGGACTCTTCAGGAACTCTCAGATCAGAGAGGAAACCAGACTAAACTTAGATACACACATCAGAATTGACAGGTGGAGCCACAGGTACACGTCATAGAATCGTGGCCTTGAGTGGATGAGTGAAAATGAATGAAACATTTGGTCCTAGAAATGGTTGGAATGTGGTAAGAAGACATGTTAAGAAGCCAGTTCTTGTATCGGGTATAGGGCATGTGAGGCGGGGTGGCTCCAGCATCAGGGTCTGAACACCAGAGCTGGCTGTCATCCACTAAGGAGCACCCAACATGACTTTGTGCGGCCCTGAGCTACAAGATGGCTGCCATCTGCACAGGCTTCCTGGCCACCAAGCTCTGTTGCAGAGTGAGCCAGAAGTGCAGTGAAGTCCCACAGTTTTAGGTCCCGAGGACCTTCTGCCCCCCTCCCACAGCAGTGCGTTTCTGGGCAGCAGGAAGTAGCACTGGACTCATGGGAGCCACCTGGTTCCGCACATCTGTCCTGTGGGGCTCTGTGTCACCTTGCCTATCTGTCCCTTCCAGGCATCAGCAACGCGGAAGCACGGCAGCCAGGGAAGGCACCCAACTTCAGCGTTAACTGGACGGTGGGCGACTCGGCCATCGAGGTCATCAATGCCACAACCGGCAAGGACGAGCTGGGCCGAGCGTCGCGCCTGTGTAAGCACGCGTTGTACTGTCGCTGGATGCGTGTACACGGCAAGGTACTGAGGCGCCCCACAGCGATGCCCGCCCCACTCCCCACCATTTGTCCATCCTTCTGCAGCCCTGCCACTGTCCACACAACCCTTCCAAGCCTGTTCCTTCTGGTGGTGTCCAGTCTAAAGTCTGGCCCTGGCTCTTCAGGTTCATAGCAGCTCAGCATCAGAGGCAGCTTTTCCTTCCCCATCCCTTCTGCTGGGACCCTCTGTCCTCAGACGAAGAGCCAGACTTCCAGTAGGATGGGCATTGCTGGTCCCAGTTAAACTGCCAGGAAGGATTTTAGACTTTTTCCTGCAGTAGCAGCAGCAGGACCCTTTTTCCCCCCAAATAAAATCTTATATAGTAAATCAGTATGTTACTAGTTTTCATTGATTTGTGAGTCTGGTGTGTAGTGTTTGTTTATTGTGAAGCTGGCATTGAACTTGATGTGGAGGAACAAACTAGCTGCAGGAGCGCACACCTGAGGTAGCCAGCTGGTGGGGGGAGGGGGGATCCAGCGATCAGAGGTACATGACACTGTGGTTTCCAAATAGCCACAGTGTTGAAAATGGACATTTGAATCGACTGTTTGTGGGTGGCCAGAGCACTGCCTGTGTATCCACAAGGCTGCTCCTAGGGGTGGGAGTGCAGACCCTCAGAGGGGCACCTAGGCTTTATTCCCTGTGAGGACAGTCCCTCTGCGGGAGGCACTGTCACCTGGTGGCCCACCCCCAAAAGCCAACATAGTATTAAACACTATTTTTTAAATATCTTCTTGAGTTTCAGTTTCTACTGTTACTTCTTAAATGGTTGTTCTTGTTTTTTTATCTTCACACAGGTTCCCTCCAACTTACAGCGCTCCAAGATCACCAAACCCAACATGTACCATGAGTCCAAGCTGGTGGCGAGGGAATACCAGGCAGCGAAGGCCTGCCTGTCCCGGGCCTTCATCAAGGCGGGGCTGGGCGCCTGGGTGGAGAAGCCCACAGAGCAGGACCAGTTCTCTCTCACGCCCTGACTGTCGGTGGGGACATGGAGGTGCCCGGTGTCCAGCACTGTCCCTGGGCCTCCCATCTGACCTGGGGATGGGCGTACAGCTGGGGCAGGTGTGGGGCAGGGCCAGTGCGGCAATCTGGCAGCTCTGGGGCACCACCTCCCCTCCCATTGGCCCAGTGACCCAGTGACTGCTTTCAATCTCAGTTTACGATAGAAGTTGAGTTCTACTGAGTAGGGCTTCCTTACGCTTAGGAAATAGCAATTACTTCGTGTGAAATTATTGAATAAATAATTTATTCAGAGCTAGAAACATGATTTATAAAATGAGAAGTAATTATGCCAAGTCAATCTTATGCCACATTATTTTAATTGCAAATAAAACATATATCTATGGAGGAAGTGAGAAAGTAGAGGTAGGAAGTAGCAACCTAGAGAAAGCCCCCATGTCCATACTCCCCACACCCTGCACCCAGACAGGTCCCTGTAGCCTCAGCTGCTCCAGAAGCTTCTGTGCTCTCATAGGATCATATCACAAAAACCTTTCTTGGTTTACTTCTAAGTAATGAGATATAAATGGGGCCATTTATTTGGGTTTTGAAGCAGTATTTAACTTTTAGGGACCAGCAGGAGTGCATTGGGGCTGCTGCACAATAACCAGCCTGACCTGCTCCTTCCTCTGAGTCTGACGGATGCGAATGACTGTCCAGAGGTCTTCATGGGTCAGAAAGAGAATTAAGTTCCTAGATATTCATCTTGGAAAACACCACTTAAGGCACATTTTAAAATTATTCTTTCCAGCTTTATCAAAGACGTGTTTGAAAAATAAGCATGCAGGCGGAAAGCTGGCAGCACAGCGGGCCACGGGCAGAGTCACGGCAGGGAAGGGGTGCTGCTGGCTCTGGGGGCACCCAGGGGTCCTGCCCAGCACCCTACAGCACACAGGACGGCCCAGGGCAGGCTGAGCCAGGGAGTCAGGTGGGTCAATGCCCTAGTGCCCCCACCCTGTGCTTAAAGACCCATACCAGCTGCCTGTTGCTGCCACTCAGGGTCAGAGAGGAGCGGATGGAGGAAGTGCTCCTACACTTGGCTGATGCATGGTTCTGGAGGGACCCATGGGTTCCATGGGGAGAGATGGGGCACACCCCACTCCACAGTGAAGTCCAGGGTGTCAGCACCTGTGTGGCATCGAGCTGTGTATCCAGTGTCCTGTGTCCTTAGGCTCAGAAAGTGCAGAACAGGAGCAGAGCATGGACTCCTGCAGTGATCACATCTGGTGGGGGGCGTGTGGCACATTGCTGGGACTTCCCAGGTTCAGGGACAGCGTCGCTCACACCAGCATTCTCCCCTTGTATAAATTGGTCGCTCATCCCAAGCCAGTTGGAGGGCAGGCCCAGATCCCCATTGCGCAAGGTATGGTCTGGTTATGATTTGCTGGCATTTTCTTTCCACATCCCAGGAAAGTGTCCTGTGGTGCCAGCCCCTCCCTCAGAACATTGTGGGAGGCCCTGCATCTTTCTTCTTCTCTCTAAAAATGGTATTTTTTCTAATAGGGATTGGGAGATGGACTTAGTTTTTAAAAAAAAGATGTGATTTGACCACAAAGCCCAATGAAATACATTCCATAGACATGGTCTGTCCTGTGTGTCTAGCCTTCCCTTCTGCCAGATGCTGGTTGAAGTCAGCGTGAGTCTCCCTCCTGCCCCAGGTGAATGGATGCCTCACTGTGTGCTGTCCCTGTGGACCCCAAGCTGAGCACTGTTTCTGGGCCAGGTTTGTGCAGCCAGCCAGGGCAGGCCAGTTGCGGGGCTCTGCCCTGAGAGCACCCAAGCCTGGCCCGTGGTTGCCAGGGAGGAAGGCAGGAGGTCGGGAGGGTCAGGAGGCCTGCACAGCCCCTGCTCCTGGGACAGGGCAGCCCCTAGGACAGGACAGCTGGAACCACACCTCTGTGAGCAGGAAAGGAGGGCAGGTTGATTAACCCCTGCAGGACACAGACAAAGCAGGAAATCCAGCACTTTACACTGTCCCTCTGAGCTCAGTCATTAGACACACAACTGTTTCCTTGAGGTGGTAATTTGCATCCAGTGTCCTCAAGCTGGACTTTAGAGACTTCATAGAAAAGTTGGCACAACCAAGGACTTGGGTTTTTTGTTTGTTTGTTTGTTTGCTTGTTTTTTTGAGAGGAATGTTAAGTGTTGAGGACTTCTGACCAGTGGGGGTCAGGGCGGTCTCTGTTCTGTTTTGTTAGCTAAACCCGAGTCATAGTTCCACGAGAACACTGGTCATTGTCCAGGCCGCCGGGCAGCCATCCTGCAGGCGGGAAGGTGGGGTTGAAGGGAGGTCTCAGATGGGGCAGCAGGGCTGTGACGTGAGCCAGGGCTCTTCCAGGCTGGGCCAAGGTCGGGGGACATCATCCCAGCCACGTGGCTCAGCCCTCATCACCTGCTCAGGGTCAGCTTTCACCTCTTCTCAGGCAAGGGACACCAAAGAACTGCGCTTCTGATTCCGGGTCTTCATGTAGCTTTTCTTCATCTTTTCCTATTTTGGGGATTTTTATTGTCATCAAAAAACAATTGTTTTTAAATGTCTGAGCCAGCATCTCAGAAGGTATTGATTTCTCTGGAATTTATTTTTATTCAGATCATTTCATTGGTCTCCTGACTATAGAATCACTTGGTGAAGACGGCGCGCCTTGTGGACAGTATTTCAAGTGGCCACACTGACGAGCCACGGCTCCCACCCCTCGCCGCAGGCCTGCGGAGGGGACTGGTGGCTGCCGTGCGAGGCTGCGGGCCCTGTCCTCAGAAAGCAACACAAATACAACACGGATGGCTTTTTTCATCTGTAAAACATTTACACCAAAATATAGGGTCTGCCCCAGGCATAAATTTGATTTCAGCAAGAGAAATAAAATTAGCTGCTTTTCCATCTCTGTATTCTATGAGATCTCTGAGAAGGTTTCATTTTATTCCCCGACCGTGTATGTGGGAGGGCAGGCGACTTGTGACCATGTGTGTCCAGTTCTGTGTGCCCTTGTCCCTGGTGTGTCCTGTAACCACCTCTCCTCCCTGCAGCACACAGTATGTCCACACACGGGGGGTGGGGAAGGGACTCTGGCCGCGTGGGCTGCAGTTCCTTTCACTGTTGGAGGGACGAGCCCCCGCCCCAGGAGCACCTGTTCGGGCTCCATCGTGGGCCAGGGGTGCGTGAGGAACTGAGGGCGTCCTGGACATGACCAGGGGCAACAGAAGGCCCAGTATGTGGACTGTTGGTGGGTGAGCCCCAAAAGCTCTTGGCTTCTCCGGACTTTAGGTTGTATGCTTTTCACTTGATTCAGAATTTGGACATTTATATGAATGTAATTCAGCCAAGGAACCATCGCTGACACACTCAGTGTTCTCCTTTGTATATTGTGTACATACCACACCCGCATGAACTCCTCGCGCTGAGACCGAGCATGAGACGCTGTCTGTAGACAAAGGGTTTCAACATCCTTAATAAAACAAAGCGTTTCACCACCGCAGAGCGGCTGCGAGTTTCTCTGCTCCCTGGCCCTCTTCCTGGCCCGCGGGCCGGTTGGCCTGGTCGGGCCCCGCGAGCATCAAGCATCGGGTGGAAGGTGCGAGCGGCGGCTGGGGCGGCGGCTGCCGTCTGGTGCAGTCAGCTGTGCTGGCCCCGCCCCGCCCCACTTGGGGACAGGCTCTCTGGGCCCCCGCCCCTCAGATTCTTGCTTTTTCACCGTCTTCCTGAGCAGGTCGGCGGCCCCCACGTGTAAGGTGTGCAGAGGGCAGTTAGAGCCGCCCCTGCGTGGCTCCCTGCGCGGGGTGAGGGCGGGAGCCGTTACCTATGGGCATGTGTGGGCAATAGGGGGGGGCACAGGACGGGCTTAGACCCCGACGACAGGCCACAGTCCACATTGTCCATTCGTGCTCAGCGGGGACCACACAGAAGGCCTTTGGGCCCAAGGGGGCCGGGCAGGTGGGGCTTTTGGGCCAGTGAAACAACACAGCTACCAAGTGACAAGGTAAAACTGTGTTATGTAGGCCTAACGTCCCAGAAAGACATTCGTCGTAAACCAAGTGGAAAGCTGGCCACAGGGCAGTATTTAGACTCAGTGGTGGAGAAGTCGGATGCTTTGGGTAAGTGGACGGCAACAGGAGAGCCTGGAAGGGACCACGTCTGGTCACAGTGCGTGGATAATGGGATTCGGGTGGTTTTTATTTCTCTTCTTTGTCAATGTGTCTATAATTAAGTGAGAAACAAGAAACTGTTCTGAAAAATCAAAAGCCCCATACAAATAAAAAGCCCTGTTACAAATAATTTGTTCTGTTGCATTAATTCTGAATCTCTTCTCTTCACACAATAAAAGCAACATTAAAATGAAAACACAATGCATTAAAAAAAAAAAAAGATTAAGCTTCAGAGAAAAGACAGGGAGGTGGGGGTGACATCTTACAAGTTCAGTCCAGGTTCCCATGGTGTCTTCTGTGGCGTCACGTGGCATCAGACTCCGTGTCTGGGGCTTGCTTGTCCAGTCCCGGAGATCCCTGAGCTCGACAGACCACTACCCTCGAGCAGCTGTGTTCTCCTGGGGAAGGGCTGAAGTGGACACACGGGACAGACCGATGTCCAGTACAAGCTCGGGGAAGAAGGAAAGGCAGGGAAGGGTGGGGTGGGCCTCTCTAGGAAGATTTGGAGGCTGAAAGAGCAATTGTGTGATCAGTCATTAAATTCTTTAATAATTGTTAGCTAAAATGTAAAATGAAACAAATGTTAATTACTTAATAATTATTTTCAGTAAATTATTAAGCAAAGGCAGAGGGAGCTGGCAGTTTGGGGTCTCTGTCCAGCGTGAAGCGCTGAGGCTGAAGTTCCAGGAATTTGGGAGCGGTATTTGGACACAGCCACTGTTTAAAATCACCTTATATAAACTCATATTAATGACGAAGGCAATGACTGAATGCTCAGAACTCATCACTTCTCACTCTGCTGCGTCTCCCTGCCATCTGTGCCCTCATTGTTCACAGGCCACAGGATGCTGGCCACCCCTCCCTGTCCTCGGCACCCTCCCGTCAGCACCGGAACCAGTGCTGGAACCTTGCACGTGCCGCTCAGGGCCTGCTCTCAACCTAAGAAGGTGATTCAGAAAACAGGTTACATTTAAAATGCCCCAGTGACACTGTGAATGGCACAAAACCTTGATGACATTCTTGCAGCATCTGAAAACTATCACCCATGTGAGCAAAAGAGCCACTGTGGCCCCAGCAAGGCTCCCACACGTGTCCTGTGGCTTTGCTGGCATCCGACTCAGGTGAAACGTGTACCGACGTGAGAACCACACTGGTCCATCGGGCTCGGCCCTGTGCTGGCTGCGGAGGCCAGCGTGCGACAGAGCCACAGAGTCTCCGGGAGACTCGGGCCCTGATCTACAACAGCGTGTCGTATGTTTCATTGTTACTTATACAGTGTGTGCTGCGTCTTCATATCTGTAAGCTTGCCAGCAGCCGCGTGTACTCAGGCGTGCATATGTGGGGGATGGGGTTAAGCAGGTACCAGCGCCCCCTGGTGCAGGCGTCCTCCAGAGCCAAACCAGGGCACTGCCGAGGCCCTGTGCAGGTGCAGGGCCGAGCCGGGGTCAGGCGACCTCTGGCAGTTCCTGCCCCTGCCTCATCCCACCTCCCAGGGCTGGTGAATCTGTCTCCTCCTACAGCGGCAGAGGGTGACGCTGGGCATGAAGGGCGAGGAGTGACTGTGAACAGTGGGTGCCGAGCTCCCACCCTGGGCTCAGCTGTCCTTCCTCCCCCTGGCTCCCTGGGCACTGAGGTCTCACATTCCCCTACACACCACCTGGGCAGGTAGCCAAAACCCCGGGGAAATGACCTCATAAGGAGAAATAAGACATTTGAAGAGTATAACTATTTGAATATAAAAATGGCAATACTGAATTAGGGATTGCATTAGAGTAGATTCTAATATTTTGGAACAGACAGTAAGAATTTAAAATGAGCCCAGCTGGGTGTGGCTTATCGACCTGGGATCCAGGAGATCTCGGTTTGATTCCGGGTCAGGGCACAGACCCGGGTTGCGGGCTCGATCCCCAGCAGGGGGCGTGCAGGAGGCAGCCGATCAGTGACTCTCATCATTGATGTTTCTCTCTCTCTCTCTCCCTCTCCCTTCCTCTCTCTGAAATAAAAAAAGATACATTAAAAAAAAAAATTTTAAATGAACCTCACATTTTCTTTTTTTTTAAAATATGTCTTTATTGATCTCAGAGAGAGGAAGGGAGAGGGAGAGAGAGAAACATCAATGATGAGAGAGTAATTGATAGAGCCCACAACCCGGGCATGTGCCCTGACCAGGAATCGAACCCCGATCGCCTGGATCCCAGGCTGACGCTCAACCGCTGAGCCACACCCGGCCGGGCGAACCTCACATTCTAAGAGATAAGAAAACAAGAGAACTAAGCAGAATTTGAAACAGCACAACAGGTGAGCCGAAAGAATGAATTTACAATCCGAAGACCAGATGGAAAACGAAGGGGCAAAGAAAAAGGGAATAAAAGCCAAGCCCGAGTGTTTGGGTGCTGCAGCGGGGGTGCTGACATCGGCCAAGAGGGCGCTCGGCGCCTGCGGCTCCCGGGGCGCTGTCAGACACGGCCCGAGCGCCCAGGTGACACACCGTGCCTGGGACTCCTTAAGAGAAAAACACACACCTGATAAATGCAACAATCCGGGCCAACTGTAGATAATCGTTGGAGCTGGTAAGTGGGAATTCATTATGCTGTTCTCTCCACTTTTATGTTTAAAACTTTTCATAAGGAATTTAAAAAGTTTGAGCATAGGCTTTTTAAACACCGTTTTCATGGTACACCAAATGCTCATGGGGTGGTTTTTTAACACAAAAGCAGGTAATGCAACTCAGAAAAAAACTGTAATGCTGTAAAGTGTAAATTTTCCAATTTAAAAAAATAAGGGAAATACCAAGCAGGTTTTTCATTGCAATCATTTGCTTCCTTCGAGAGCCCTCCGAGGCGCGTGTTCAGGGGCGTGAGCCCTGTGTGCATCGCCTGACCTGCCGCTGCGCGCCCCGTTTCGTTTTTCCTCCTACATTAGTCACTCTGACATAACTGGCATTTTCGTGTTTGTCCCCCATGAAGCGTAAGCTCTGTGGGGTAGGAGACATTGGTCTGCCACGGCTGCTCCCGTCACGTGGCACCAGCCTGCCGTGCTGCAGATGCGGAATGTGTCCCGAACTAGTGAAAACAGCTCATCGCCTCCGAGCTTTGTCTCACCGAGAGCTGTTTTGATGAGATGTTTAAAAGGAGAAACAACATTTAAGAAATGTTGCAAGAAGTTTAAAGTAAAAGTGATCAGTACGTTGGCAAGTTCGTGGTGGTTTTTAAAAAGTTAAGCTCCAATCAAAAGAACACATGCCCTTAATAACTGGAATTTAAGGTCTGGGTAACATCAGCGTGACAAAGGCTGGCGTGACGGGGACATGATAGCATCTGAGAGTATATTTAGGTTTCTCTCTAATTGGGGTGGAAATATAAACATCCATTATTTTTATAATAAACACTGTTAAAGATTTTATTTAATTCTAGCTAATGAGGAAACTAATAAGATGTTAAAACCCATTCCACTGGGAATTTGACTCACTCTGCTAGGTTAAATGCATTTGACCTTTACCTGCTAGGTTCAATGCATCTGACCTTTTATATTACTAAAAACTAGGCTGCCTAATTTTTCGCAATATATACCTTTCTTTTTCATGAAAGACAGTTCCACCGAAATGGATGCCAAAAACTGGTGGATAGTGTCAGGCCTCATGAATATTGAGCACTATTCATGAAAATTGAGCACCGTCTCATGAATATTGAGCACAGTTTATGAATATTGAGCCCCCCCTGGAACTGCCCTCCACGTCAGCTGACTGACATTTAATTTAACGCGTCAAACAGGCTCTCTGCTTCTTTGCTCGTTTCTAATTTTCTACAGGTGGGTTCAATATTCTTAACTAATGCCGCAAACACTTTGCCACGTGCTAGCTACCAGGCTGCCTAGTTTTTAGCAATATATACCTTTCTTTTTCATTAAACGCAAAGGAAACTTTGTGATGCATAACAGAATGGATGAAGGGGGGTTTTGTAAGATGATTTTTATACCCAGTTCTCATTTATTCTTCAGCTGCTGGGAATAGTGTTCAATACACCCATTTATACAAACTCTTATCATTCCTCTCAAGTGACAGTCCCTCGCTTAGCACAAAACCTGAGGGTTTACCCACGTATTTCATTTCTGTCACACAGAAAAGCAGCATATTATAAAGTGGGTCAATTAGTTATATCAAATCTACACGTTTCAAATCTCGACTTCACTGACATCAGTAATTTATCAGGAATGTTCTATAATTTTATTTCTCAGGGGTTTTATTTGTTAGTGTCCTAAAAAGCATGTTAACACTTTTATTTGAATTGAAAAAGTGAGTGAGGCCTTTTCTGACAGAAAACAAGCCCACTATGGC